CGGAGTCAGTGCTTTGTCAGTTTGAAAGACTGGACGATTGTCAGCTCAGTTACAGATGAGTTTATACAGCAACTATCGATCGAGCAAGCCCTTGAATTCATCAGTCGATCACCGAATACGTTAACACTTGATGGAACGGAGTTTGACGAGTTTCTGTTTACGAATGAGGCAAACGGATGCAGAAATTTGCACGAAATAAAAATCATGATGGGCGACAGTTTGATCTACAACATTTGATGTGAATTTCGCTTTGCTCAAACTGGTCTCGATTTTTAAAGATCAATAAACTGCATGTAATGCATAGCTTTTTGTTTTTCACACAATTTTGAGGAGGAAGAAGAACTATTACACAGCCGAAGATCGTAAAATAGGTGGAGACTACTAAGAACTCAACAGTCGGTTTCCTTGTGTTTTCAACAGAATTTAGTTTTTCCGAGGTTAATATGACAAAAAAGGTGTCGAATTAAAGATATTGAACATTCGCATCTTGGGACTAACAGAACCGGACAGCACAGAAATAAATACAGGAGTTTGGCTCGCAATAAATGGTTCTTACGCGTGAGCATATTCCTTCGCCGGTTAATCAAAGTAAGACACTCAACGCTGAGGGAGATTGGAAAGAGAGGATGCTCTTTCACCTTTAGCTAAACTGATCAACAATGTCACACAATCCTGAAGGAACTACGGTGGAACCAAACAATGAAACTCCTAGGATACATTTCTTTTGGTTAATCTCGGTGTTTAAACCTACCCACTTGTTCTGTGGAGGCCATTGCCTAATAAACTTACTCAGTCGCTTTGTAAGGACGTGGATTCTAGAAATCTCGCAACCACCTGCAACTAATCAAAAACTGCCCGACAGGTTTCAGGTGTCTGTGACGCAAGCTCACAGGGAAGTCCTGAAAAACAGGTCAATCAATCAACAAACAGGATGGTTCTGGGTCACCGTTCGGAGCGTCGGGCAGACCATTCGCATCGCTAAAGCGTGAACACAACCGCCCGTTTAGACCTGATAACCATGAGCTGGTAAACCCGTAACACAATGACCTTAGACGTCGAATGTTTGGGTTCAAATCTTGACATTGCCAAAGATATGCGCTACTGATGAGCACTAATGAGAGTAAAACTCGAGTCCAAACCTTCCCTCTCTGGTGTGGACTGGCCAGAATAATTGCTCCTGGACTGCTCAAACGAGAGCGATGTGAATGCGAAGTCTACGAATCTCGTAACCACCTATAATAAATTAAAAAAGCTACACTGATGGGAATAGGCCGTTTGATTTCCCGGTTAAATCAGCGTTGACAGCAGCAGCATAAAACTCGAGCATGAAAAGATAGCTGATGGCTGACAGCTTGGTCTAAGACCTTGAACTCACCACAGAGAGCTGAATAGCCCGAATTCTACTAATTCGAATCAAACCAAGGCAGGACAGGTGACGCTCACTTTGCAGTTGAACGCATTGCATAATTTTCTCGTTGATAGTAACAGGAGTTTACCGATAACTTCGACAGGGAACTGAGTATTATTCCTCGAAATGGTCACGCAGAACAGAGCTGACACACTATTGCAAACGTCCAAAGTGTCACACAGAATACACCTAGAAATTATGAAACGAAGGCTTGCAGGTCCAGGCAGGTTCATGCAAAGCAATGTCTTCTCTCAGAGGCAACCAAGAAAAAGCCGAGGTTTTTTTCCAAAATGAAGAACAGCATTTCTGGATGACTAAATGAATTTTATGGACGTCATAGTGCTTGAAAAACAAACCTTTCACGCCCTCGGTTTACTCTGGCTTCATCTGGGGTCAGATCTTCAGTTAAAAAGACCCTGAATTTGAAGGTCATTTGCTGTTTGCTGAAGAAAGGTAGTAGTGTAATTAGCTAAGCTTTGGTGAGAATGGCAGTGTACTCAAGGTGATGTGTTCCGCGGCATGCACCTTGAGTTACATGTGTGAAGTGAAACATCTCCCCAGCAGAAGAGCGTAATCCAGTAAGATGCAGTCGAGATGGAGCGATCACTCAGCTCCGAAAAAACTGTAGTCCTACCAAGTGAGGCGCGTTAAAAATGCCTTTGAATGTCCTAAAACTGATGTGTACATTCAAGAATACCTGTTCAAACAGACGTATTTTCACTGACCGAAACTGCAGAGCCTTCCAATAAATAAACTAGTATTTTTCCAGACTAACCAAAACCTCGTCATAACAAACATGTTCTCTGTTATTTCCTTGGGCGATAGCAGTCTGGTATCGGTTACGGTGGAATCAGTAGCTATATTCACCACCTATTAGGGCGTTGCGTTTTCAAACTCCACTAATTAGGGATTCACTAGTGAAGGTCATTTAGGAAAAAGTTCTATGGACTGTTTCAGTATCGAACCGTGTTTTGAACACAGTGGTGATATCATTTTCATGGGCGCACAAATGTATAAACAAACTGACTAAAATCAGTCACCGGAACAATCAATTCTGATATCTAGATACAGAGTCTAAACACCTTTTCACGTTTCGCTATCACCCTTCAGTTGACGGAGAAATTTTGCATAGCAGTTTCGTTCGAATGAGGCGGATGAACGCGCCGGCGTTTTTTGGACCACCAGCTGAGTTCAACGGCGCGAACAAAACTCTAGCTGACAAACACAAACTGGATTTACTGCTCGCCAATCAGAATTTGGCGTGAATCTATATAGGTTTGTCACAATTTTTGTATAAAAAAAGGAAAATTAACACCCCGAGGTGAACTTGAAAAATGATGCAAATAGAATTTGTGATGGAGACTGACTAATCGCTGAAACACTTTCAAACGTGGTTAGCCAATGGTCGCGGCTTTGGCCCTCAATATGAGCTCACAAACGGTTCATTTGAGTCACGTGTGGTACGGTCTGCGTCTATACATGATATTTGGTGGAAAGAAAAGGATGCCAAAATTAGCTTAAAATGAATTGCAGCGAAATTAAACTGTTCTCTAAACATTTTCCTTCCTCATCTATCACAGCGAGGCTACAAAAAAACAAGGGGTACTGAAAATCCTGTGAAGGAGAGCAAAGCGCGAGTTATCCAGGGTTGAAAAATGACCAAGCGGAAAATTTCTGGAATGTGAAGTGTTCCGCAATTCGCATCTGAGGTTCAAACATGTCCGGAAAAAACCAGGCCCGCAGCGTTTGATGCAGCTGAGTAGGAGTGAAGAGTTGTTCTCCAGCTAAAAGATCAAAAGGGATGGATTTTGTCTTCTTGATTTACTCGAATCGGTGATAGTTGAATGTGTGTTCTTCTGGTGAGAACGGAGACCGCCATTTTTGTACATGTTACCCCCTTTTAGGGTGACTGAGGAGTCATGTAAAGCAGATGAGTATCGTACAAGTGTTTTTAAGAGAACGTAAATTGCAAAATAATTTGTTATGGTTGATTAGAGGACATAGCGTCCGTAGCTCGATAGTTTTTAGAAATTGATCAATAAACATGTTCGTTAGCACTGAAACTGATAGACAGGGAACTTGAAACTAGAGAAATTCGCTCCCATCTTTCGTGATATTATGAAAATTCAATCCGTGAACAACCATTGTTTTAACCTATACAACTCGCTCAGGACAGTGGCAGCTAAGTACTGTCAATTACAGCTCACATCTGATCGTGTATGGACTTTCAGGTCGATGTAGCGCATGGCGACTGAGTGGTTCTTTGAAACTGAGGAGCGTAATGATCAACTTTTCTTCGCATTTATACTGAAAAGCTAGAAAGATGTGCTTTTGGTGTTTTCAAGTCCGCTTTGATCACCGTCGACAAAAGGTGGATCGCACACTCACTATGTGATCAGAGTATGATATGCTCGACCAGTCCGAATCTGTTTCGCGGCACGACGTCTTGATAGTTACTGTGAATGACCATCGAAGCTTATGAATAGAACGGATGCTAAACCAACGGCATAAGATTCACCCCCTGTAAATTGACATGACCTAACGGATAGAACGGAAACGCGAAGGGAATCACAGTACAACTAAGGTGTATGGAAAATAACGTTGGCCTTAGGTTAACTTTGACTTGGTTCCAGATGCTGTCAGCTGACAGATAACCCTGTCTTCAGCAAATACAACTCAGTGCTTGCTAAACAAAAAATGGACTGCAGGAGTTATCATCAAAAACTTCCCACTAAAAAGTTTTCCTGGCAAACAAAATGTGTGCCATCAGCCGTTTTTGATTCTTCACCTGGGGCATCCAAAATATACGACCTTTTGACAATAGTTTACGGTTGTTCTTCGAGCCCTCAAAAGATGCATCCCACTAAAAAGTTTTCCTGGCAAACAAAATGTGTGCCATCAGCCGTTTTTGATTCTTCAACCTGGAGCATCAAAATATACGACCTTTTGACAATAGTTTACGGTTGTTCTTCGAGCCCTCAAAAGATGCACTTTTGTCGCCCAATTGGTCGAGGAATATGACGAACTCTCACCCAACATGTGCATGAAGCTCATTTGTCTTACACTGCTGGAAACAAGCATCTCATGCTGGCCAGAATGACTAACAAATTGCAAGTTGGATGAACTCAAACATCCAACTGTGAATTAGCCTCGAATGGGCACAGCAAACGCTCAAGTTTGAGGCACCAGAGCCGCTGGTAGAATGTTTATGCGTAACAGCTGAGAATATGAGATAAACTAAGCTTCCTGTAAAGTCTTCAAAATTACCCTAGTTCTCTGTCTTTGCAAGTGTATTTCAAGGTGCTCGGTGGATCCACCAATTATCTTTTTTGAACTGACCCATGTTTAACTCATTTCTTCTCAAAGTTATGTTTGATAATGTGATCCCGATTAAATTAAGTCATCACCTCATTACTGAAAGATTTTGACAATTGAGTGTAACCGAGGAAGTGCATCTTTCCTAAGCACTACGGAATTGAGACGCTGAGCTGGCTGAAGAGTTGTTGGAAATCATAACAATGTCGAAATAGGAGGCGATTTTAAAACATTGGAGTAATTATGCATCGGGGTGACTAGCTGTGATGACCTTAAAGTTGCTGTGATTGTGGTGGATTATCGTGGTTATTGTCTTGTGTTGTCCGGTAGGTCAAATTCTACGGTGGCGTCGAGTTCGTCAAGCGAAACTGTATTGTTGCACAAACTCCCAGTTTCATTTCCCGACAGGGTTAGCTATCTAATCGTAGAATGCGAGCTCTCTTTCCAGCGAACTTATACATTTCCTTCAGTATTCGAGTGCCCATCATCAGTGAATATGCTGATTACCTTCAAACAAAGTGATTACTTAGTTAGAAAATGCTGTTTGCATCACAGGAGATGAACCGACCATATAGAGCTGTTTCCTTCTCACCTTTTTCACGTCCTAATTTATTACATGTTTGTTATTAAAGCCGATATTTGCGCTATACACAGGTGTGCCTTAATCAACTCATCAGGTCACTGGATTCGAATCATCTCTTCGAACATTTGCTCAGAGTCGAACCGTCGTGTCACATTTCTATCAAGTTCGCGAGTGCCAGGGCAAAGAGGCTAACCCTAAACAATTTCAGTCTCAGTGTATCATGAACACCTGTTTGACAATTTCAACTTCCTTTCGACCCGTGTTTTTCTATTGAAACAAACT